GGCCGCGCCCGCCCTGCCTGCGGCCTCCCCACCCTGGCCCGGCGCGGCGTTGCGGGCTGTCCGGGTTGCTCTCCTAGGGTCCTTCTGAGGCACAGGGAAGCTTGCACCTTCCCCCTGGCTAACGTGTGATTTACCGCCATCCTTCTCACCCAGCCAGAGCCTCATTCTCCCCGGGCCAGTTAACTGGTAAGTGTTTTATCAGCTCGAACAGGAGACTGGAGCTTGCTTCTCTCTGACACTACGCGTGTGCCACGATCATATATTTTTAGTCAGTGGAACACTATTTTCAAAGGAACTATTTCGATTATTGTACTTAAACAGGCTTAAAGTTGTTTTACTTCTGGATGTCCTTACATCAATCCTTGCAATTGGAAAAGACCTACCATGTTTTATTAGGCACCGTGTACACTCATATTTCAGATTTTATGAACTCCATCTTGTCTATTGAACCCTCAGCAGAGTAATTGTTCCCTGGTGAAAAGAATGAATATTGTAATCACGGCAGAATGCCTTACAAATAGAAAAGGCAAGTTTATTGGTTTTTTTCTACTTGTAGATGCTTAGGAGCTATAAAAATTCTCCTTCCAAGTCCCTCTTTTTCTATGACAGACTGAAGCTTTTTCAAAATGTATATGGTCAGTCCATTAAAAAGATTAAAGACCTAGAAATGACTTTGCTGAAGCCTACAAAAATTTGAAACCACGTATTATTCTCCATGGACTTCCAAAGTGTTTGTTCAAGTGCCCTCATAAAGCATTTTTGTGGTTGTCATATTTTTCTGTCTTGGGCTTGAATTGACAGAGACAAATTCCTACTGTCCACCTCTTGGTGCTCTAGTGTCCCTGAGCTGCTGTTCATTTGGAAGCCAGATTTTCTTTCTTGCAAACGGAATAATCATTCAGCACCACTTCTTCCTCTATTCATCCCTTCCAGGGAAAGAACTCTGTGCAGAGAAAATGCAAGGCCACAGCTGTGGAAGTTACAGCATTCTCAGCGTTGGTACTTGTTGTGTTGGTTTTCCACATCAAAAGTTTTCTTAAGCTTTAACTAGTCATATTTTAGCGGTTGAGCTCTGTTTAATGGTAGACCTGGCTGATATTCATGCTTATTTAATACACGTATTTCTCTTTGCCTGACTTACCTTGGCTCAGTAAAAAAGAGAGCTGAGTAAGTAGTAAAAAAATCAGATTTCTCTGTGGAATGATGTACAGAATCATGGAATTTCTGTTGCTGATGTCAAACTCGTATCTAATGGAATTTAGTGTCTGACAAGCTTGATAAGTAAACTAAGCTGGGGCAGAGTGCAACACATTCTTCATGGATGTTAATTGTTCAGCATTAGTCAGGTAAATGAATGTAAGTTGTCAAAACCAGGTATTACTATGTGTGATATATAACTTTTTTTACAATGTTACATAACAGGTCTAAAGATTTTGCATCAACTCTATATGTTAAGTTTGTAATTAATATAAAAATTTGGGATAAGCAGAAGGCTTGAAATAGTTTTGGATGCTTCCTTCTGGAGCTTATTTTAGATTACTTATGTAGTACCTCTTAATTTGATCCCAAAGTACTTTGAAACTTTGTTACTGAAGTTATGTACCTTCAGTGCCAGGCAGATACCATTATGTCCTTTTTATGAGTGAGTAAACTCAAAACTGTATAGGTGAAGGAATGGTCACACAAGTCAGTGGCAGACCTAAGATCTGCCTCAGGTCTGCTGTTAACATAGAGTGCGTTTATTTTGCATCCTGAGGTCAAGTATTCAAAACCTACAGAAATAAACAGACTAGCAGTATTGATTGGTTTGTAGTATTCTGTCACAAGACAACATCAGTAATCAGCCATTAAAAATTATCTTTTAAGATAAAATTGACTGTGCTTGTAATAACAAAGATGAAATACACTGAATGGTTTTTGTTGTGCCAAAACCAAAGCTGAGTCATTAAACTATTCTGAGTCTTTATAACTGAGCTTTTCTAAGTAAGCTTTTTGGTCACTAAGACTAGTTACCTATGAGAAAAGGATTGTAAAGATAACATGCCTCTTCAACTAAGTTTGTAGCAATCTACCTGGATTGCTTCATGTCTAAAGAACATTCATTGTAGCATAACTAACTCTCTTATAGTGCAGGCTGTCATATACAGCTAGATTTTACAAAACGAGAATTGCAAGAATGTACTGAAATGAAGCATTTTCTTGACAGTCTGTTAAATTTCTTTAGCAGAGAATTTGTTTCTGAACTTTGCTTTTCTCCCAAAATGTCTTTTGGACTGGGTTTCTCCAGAGTTTCTGAGGACTGGGGATGATTTATCAGTTCACAGATCTACCTTAGCTTTTTTCTTCTTTTCTTCTGAGTAGCCTTCTTGCCTGAACCAACTGACCTGTTTCCACAGAGCACAGATGGAAGAGTTGCTTCTTTTTCCGGTGTCCTTTCTCCTGCTTCCCTCAGGATATTTCAGTTTACATTTGTTTTTTGAACTAGCTGTCTGCTATGCTTTGTCAAGCCATATGGTCAGCATTACCATGATGATATTTCCCCATGTCACATGATATATCAGTATCTTCTGACCACAAATTCTCTACCTGGCATTTTCATAGGATAGAATAATCTGTCCAACCCAGGTAATTTAAAAAAAAAATATTTGCTTTCAATTGTCCATTTCAATTCAATATACAAAGTCTATTCGTTGATAGCTGATTCAGTTGCCCTGACAGACTTACTGTTACCTAGGAAATCTTTCCTGTTGTGATTTTAGTCAA